TTTTCTCTAGTTCAGATAAATCGCTCCAAGATTTATTCAGATTCCTTCTAGACATCTGCTGGTTTAGTTTAAATCTCAATGATTTATCCTGATTCTTTCCTATAGACATTTTCTCTGGTTTAGAAAAATCACTCCAAGATTTGTTCTGATTCTTTCCAGACATTTGCTTGTTCAGTGTAAATCTCAATGGTTTATCCTGATTCTTTACCGTAGACATTTTCTCTTGTTCAGATAAATCGCTCCAAAATTTGTTCTGATTCTTTCCAGACCTCTGCTGGTTCGGTTTAAATATCTTAATGTTTTATCTTCACTGTTTCCCATAGAAATTTTCTCCAGTTCAGGTATATCGCTCCAAGATTTGTTATGATTCTTTCCAGACCTCTGCTGGTTCAATTTAAATCTCAATAATTTATCCTGAATTTTTCCCGTAGACATTTTCTCTAGTTCAGATGAATCTCTCCAAGATTTGTTCTGATTCTTTCTAGACCTCTGCTGGTTCAGTTTAAATCTCAATGGTTTATCTTGATTCATTCTCGTAGACATTTTCTCTGGTTCAGATAAATCGCTCCAAGACTTATTCTGATTCTTTCCAGAACTCAGCTTTTTCAGGTTAAATCTCTCAATGGTTTATCCTGATTCTTTCCTGTATAAATTTTCTCTGGTTCAGATAAATCGCTCCAAGATTTGTTGTGATTCTTTCCAGACCTATGCTGGTTCAGTTTAAATCTCAATGGTTTATCCTGATTCTTTCATGTAGATATTTTCTCTGGTTCAGATAAATTTCTCAAAGATTTCCTCTGGTTCTTTTCAGACCTCTGCTGGTTCAATTTATATCTCAATGGTTTATTTTGATTCTTTCCCGTAGATATTTTCTATGGTTCAGATAAATCGCTCCAAGAATTGTTCTGATTCTTTCCTAAACTCTACTGGTTCAATTAAAATCTCAATGGTTTATCTGGATTCTTCCCGTAGACATTTTCTATGGTTCAGATAAATTGCTCGAAGATATGTTATGATTCTTTCCAAACCACTGTTGGTTCAGTTTAAATCTCTCAATGGTTTATCCTGATTCTTTCACGAAGAAATTTTCTCTGGTTTAGATAAATCATCCCAAGATTTATTCTTATTCTTTCCAGACCTCTGTTGGTTTAGTTTAAATCTCGTAATGGTTTATCCTCATTCTTTCCCGTAGACATTTTATCTGGTTTAGATAAATCGCCCCAAGATTTATTCTGATTATTTCCAGACCTCTGCTGGTTCAGTTTAGATCGATCAATAGTTTATCCTGATTCTTTCCCAGTAGACAATTTCTCTGGTTCAGATAAATCGCTCCAAGATTTATTCAGATTCCTTCTAGACATCTGCTGGTTCAGTTTAAATATCTCTATGGTTTATCCTAATTCTTTCCCGTAAAAAATTTTCTCTTGTTCAGATAAATCTCCCCAAGATTTGTTCTGATTATTTCAAGGCCTCTGCTAGTTCAGTTAAAATCTCTCAACATATTATCCTGATTCTTTCCGGTAGACATTTTCTCTAGTTCGGATTAATCGCCCCAAGATTTGTTTTGATTCTTTCCAGACCTCTGCTGGTTCATTTTAAATCTCTCAATGGTTTATCCTGATTCTTTCCCGTAGACATTTTCTCTGGTTCAGAGAAATCGGTCCAAGATTTATTCAGATTCCTTCTAGACATCTGCTAGTTCAGTTTAAATCTCAATGATTTATCCTGATTCTTTCCTATAGACATTTTCTCTAGTTCAGATAAATCACTACAAGATTTGTTTTGATTCTTTCCAGACTTCTGCTGGTTCAGCTTAAATCTCAATGGTTTATCCTGATTCTTTCACGTAGACATTTTCTCTTGTTTAGATAAATCGCTCCAAGATTTGTTCTGATTCTTTCCAGATCTCTACTGGTTCAGTTTATATCTATAAATGGTTTATCATGATTCTTTCCTGTAGAAATTTTCTCTGCTTCAGATTAATCGCTCCAAGGTTTGTTCTGCTTCTTTCCAGACATCTGTTGGTTCAGTTTAAATCTCAACGGTTTATATTGATTCTTTCCCGTATACATTTTCTCTGGTTCAGATAAATCGCTCCAAGATTTGTTCTGATTCTTTCAAGACCTCTGCTGGTTCATTTTAAATCTTAGTAATTTATCATTATTCTTTCCCGTAGACATTTTCTCTGGTTCAGATAAGTTGCTCCAAAGGTTTATCTTAATTCTTCCAAGTTAAAGATAATTCAAGACTTCTGCTGGTTCAGTTTAAATCTCAATGGTTTATCCTGATTCTTTCCTGAAGACATTATCTCTGGTTCAGATAAATCGCTCCAAGATTTGTTCTGATTCTTTCCAGACCTCTACTGGTTCAGTTTAAATCAATCAATGGTTTATCTTAATTCTTTCACGTTGACATTTTCTCTGGTTTAGTTAAATCGCTCCAAGAATTATTATGATTCTTTCAAGACCTCTGTTGGTTCAGTTTAAATCTCTTAATGGTTTATCCTGATTCTTTCCCGTAGAAATTTTCTCTGGTAAAGATAAATCGCCCCAATATTTGTTCTGATTATTTCCAGGCCTCTGCTAGTTCAGTTAAAATCTCTCAACGGTTTATCCTGATTCTTTCCGGTAGACATTTTCTCTGGTTCAGATCAATCACCCCGAGATTTGTTTTGATTCTTTCAAGACCTCTGCTGGTTTAGTTAAAATCTCTCAATGGTTTATCCTTATTCTTTCCTGTAGACATTTTCTCTGGTTCAGATAAATCGCCCCGATATTTGTTTTGATTCTTTCAAGACCTCTGCTGGTTTAGTTAAAATCTCACAATGGTTTATCCTTATTCTTTCCAGTAGACATTTACTCTGGTTCAGATAAATCTCCCCAAGATTTATTCTTATTCTTTCCAGACCTCTGTTGGTTCAGTTTAAATCTCTTAATGGTTTACCCTGATTCTTTCTCGTAAACATTTTATCTGGTTCAGATAAATCGCCCCAAGATTTATTTTGATTCTTTCCAGACCTATGTTGGTTCAGTTTAGATCGCTCCAGGATTTATTCAGATTCCTTCTAGACATCTGATGGTTCAGTTTAAATCTCTCAATGGTTTATCCTGGTTCTTTACCGTAGCAATTTTCTCTTGTTCAGATAAATCTCCCCAAGATTTGTTCTGATTATTTCCAGGCCTCTGCTAGTTCAGTTAAAATCTCTCAACGTATTATCCTGATTCTTTCCGGTAGACATTTTCTCTAGTTCGGATAAATCGCCCCAAGATTTGTTTTGATTCTTTCCAGACCTCTGCTGGTTCATTTTAAATCTCTCAATGGTTTATCCTGATTCTTTCCCGTAGACATTTTCTCTGGTTCAGATAAATCGCTCCAAGATTTATTCAGATTCCTTCTAGACATCAGCTGGTTATGTTTAAATCTCAATGATTTATCCTGATTCTTTCCTATAGACATTTTCCCTGGCTCAGATAAATCACTACAAGATTTGTTTTGATTCTTTCCAAACCTCTGCTGGTTCAGTTTAAATCTCAATGGTTTATCCTGATTCTTTCCCATTGACATTTTCTCTGGTTCAGATAAATCACTCCAAGATTTGTACTGATTCTTTCCAGACCTCTGCTAGTTCAGTTTAAATCTCAATTAGTTATCACTACGCCAAATAAGCTATTTAATAGCGCTTTTTTTTGTTTTTGATAGCGCTTAAAAGTGCTATTAACCGCGCCACTATTGTAAATATTTCTTATTTAATAGCACTTTAAAAGCGCTATTAAAGTACCAATTTATAATAGCGTTTTAATTAAAGTGCTATCAAAGTCAGTATTTTGCATGTTTTTTGTTTGTTTTTTTATAGCACTCTAAACAAAAAGCGCTAATATATAACATATGTTTGATAGCGCTTTCAAATAAAGTGCTAATAAATGGTACATATTTGGTACAATATTTTTAATAAGTACAGTACAATATTTTTTCTTACACAATCATTTTTTTTGGTGTAAATATAAAATAACTATATTCAATTCAACACAAATAACGCTTTAAGTTACTCATTGCATATATATTATGATCCATCAAATACCAAATAACATTTTAAATTACCAAATCCTATTGTTTCCAAATATCATAACATATAGAATATTAAGAGGGCGTTTGCATAGCCAAATTTGTAGATGCCCATCTATGAGTACTTCAATCCAAATCCAAAAACATACAATCAAATTCTCTAAACAAAACACCAAAAAAATAAGAAAGGATAACAAAACAATCCCATGTAGTAACCACCTTCATGATCCAAAAGCGTTGAACTCATAGATACAATCACTAATTAGGCAAAATAATTGCTTCTTGTTTTCCTGTATCATAGAAGGAATATTGATTATGTATTGTACAATAAAAACTAATTCAACATATAAAGAATAATCAAACATTTAATATGGGTCTAACAAGAAGCGCATAAAATAAGGAATGATTATTATAAACTAATAACAACAAAACGATATAACTAATGCAATAATTGAACTAATTAAGTCTAACAAGAACATGACTTGTAAATATATAGACCATAATTTCCATTATTAGATGCATATAAACACTAAACAGAATATAATTCAAATTCTCAAAATATACATAAACACTTAATTGTGTGTAACTTTCTTTTCATGATCCAGAACTAGATATCAAACACCTTACAATTGTTACTACGAATATCTAAAAATTTCAAGTAGAAACGGAAAACTATAAATCAATCATACAATAAGATATAAGTCATTTTTCCGTATTTTCCTATTTCAAAATTTAAATTCGAGACCAAGAAAGAACACTTAGTACCTCTGTGCCATATCTTCTAAACCAATAAAATACTAAAATCATTTATACGACAACTCTAAATCCATTTGAACTCTAAGTCAAAACATTTGAACTCTAAATCCATGAGTAATATTTGTCTTGTTTATCAAGTATCAAGTCAAGGAAAAACTCACCGAAAACATCAAGCAACTTGATTATAAGTAATTTACCTTTTCACATTCAGCAACAAATTCAAGAAGTTTCGTTGGCCATGGCACAATTGTTCCTATTGCTTGACCAACCATGGATACATCTCCATCTTCAACAGATATAGGCAATGGGGCATTTGGCACAATAGCAACTTCGATATTAACCTTGACATATCCAGGTGGTAACGTCATGCCATGTACCGTGTTACCTTTGGTGTTATATAGTTTTCCACGAGCAACCAAACAACGACTCGGGGAGGATAAATATATATTAACACGAAAGAGACCCTAAACCAATAAGATATGAATAAAAAGATTAACATCATTATTGAAAGAACAAACATATCGAATTTGAGAGATAATAAAGAAACCAATTACCTCGGGAATGTTGCCAAATGATCCAGGGTTGCAAGAACCTTTATCACTAGGTAGTCGACTCTCAGCTACTTTTTCTGGTTGTTTCCTTTCTACCACTTGTTCAAGGTGTTGCCTCTGTGCCACTTTTTCAGGTTGTTGCAACCTCTCTGACACTTGTTTAGGTTGTTGCCTTTCTTCCACTTCTTCAGTTTGTTGCCTCTCTAGCTTCTCTCTATCCAACTTATCTCTCTCAATCTTTTCTCTCTCTAGCACCTCCAATCTACTTTTGAGTGAATTACAAAAGCCATACAATTTTTCAAAATCCATTTGTGTGGGGCGATTTTGGCGTGGTAATATGTCCCTACCCAAAACCATAAGTCCTAACACGTCCAGAGTAGTTTGGGAGATTAAGAGCCTCAAATAATATGTTTGTGGGACCAAGGTCTTGTCTCTCTTCTTCAGATAGAGCTTCTGTTAACTTCTCCTGACATTGATAAGTATAAAAGAAATAACCAATAGTTAGATACAAGTTGCAATTAATGGCTATTCTATCAAGCTTATTGGAACTAACCGACGAACTGTGACACCAATGAAACTAGCAAAAGTCTTGCTATTATGCTTGATTGGTTGACCTCTGGAATTCCATTGAACCTATAACAAAATTAAAGTGCAAACGAAGATGCTTCAAATTCTCTGCCCCTGTGCCCAGTGTTTCCGGATCATCTAAGATACTTTTATTCTAGTATACAAAAATGAAATTTTGGGATATTTTCTAAATATTTTGACAGCCCATCGATAATACAATGTAGACAAATAGAAGAAACAGGGATGGTCTGCATAGGGTTGCCTTCTCTCCCTGGATCTGTAGGATCCAAGAAAGAAGAGTCAGAATATGTACATAACATTCCCAGGATTTAAGAGTCTTGTTTCTCCCACCCAAAAATCACTAATCAACAAACACCGCTCAGTTACATTCATTGTTGTTAAATGGAAACCATAGAGTGGTGGATTTTTTCACAATTGCCATGGGCAATTTGTGAAGAGATACCCGCCATAGATGGTAGACCACAATGGCTTGCTTATAATAGCGGGTTTTTTACCTTCCATTTTCTGCGTCTGACAAGAGTGGTTACATTCCCTTCCTCTAGAAAGGGAGTTACCCATTTACATTTTCAAGATTAAAGAAATGTATTTGTTCACATAATATACTCAGAAATTATTTACATATGGGTTAAATATATTTTTATTACCTATAAAAGTAAAAAATATATAAAAAATTGGTTTTGGTTCCTGTAAAGATTTTATTTGTTTTTAATCGTACATGTTTTAACAAATATATGCTTTTAGTATCGTATCAGTTACAAATGTTAGGTGTTTTGTTTTCAGTTTTACAGGGAACAAAATATGTTCAATAAATATTCTCGTATAGGAAAATATATTATTTGTATAATGTATAGTTCCATATAAAGATGAAACGCTAAAATTAGTTACCTCTTGTAGAATTAGTGCAAATGAGAACACATCCACTTTAGTGTCATATTCCTCTTGATTAAAAACCTCAGGAGCCACATAGCGGCCTATTAACAAAATAACAAAGTTCCAGTTTTAGAAAATTATTTCATAAAGCAGCATATCTAAGACCACTGCATAAAAAATATCACAATGTCCTATATGAATAAGAGAATATAGTATTTAGATATTTAGATATTCAAGTGTGCATTGATCACAGTTCTAAAGAAAAGCAGCACCCACAAGAAGTATCTTGGAAAGTTAGAGGCTTGTCTTTAACTGTTAGCAACTTGCTAACTCCAAAGTCTGCAACTTTTAGGTGGCCGAAATCATCCCTCAATATATTACTGTTAGTTTACACATAAGCAACATTGATACAAAGTGTAAATATATCAGATGACTAATCAATACATTCGAACTTCACATAAAAGGACAAAGGAAAAAACAATAATTCAACGAAGAAACTTACGAAGGCTCGAGATCACGGTGAATAATGGGTGATGGTTTATTTTCATGCAAATAACCCACTCCCCTGCATAATATAAAATAAAAACGGTGTTAAGTGACACTTCAATAGAGAAAAAAGATAAACATTGCAGTAGAGACATCATATTCAAATTCAAGAGAATCAGAACCAAGTAGATGTCTCATCTTAAAATGATTCACATACATGAATTTTGAAAAGTTATCTCTAAAAGGTAATGCATATTTTTATCCAGAAAGTATGAACCTGGAGAGAAATGTTAAAGCCATGATGCTTCTTAGGACATGCAATCAGAAAATTTCTGAGAAGAAACCTGTTCAAGAACTATATTTGAATAATTAATAACTTGTTTCTCTTTATGGATGACATCCACCCACTTAAGTTACTGGACATACGGATTGGATCATTACTTAGCCAAATTAAACATGGGCTTCACTTACTCAGCCTATGAACACATATTTATGTAATTAACTATGTTTTTTTAAAATTATAATATTTTAGCTTCTTACCTTTTTATCTAATTTTCCTTGATTTCCATTACTTTCTAGTTCCTAAAACACTATTTTTCCTATATCCGGAAACACTGGGCACAGGGGCAGAGAATTTGAAGCATTTCTGCTTTCCTTAACACAGGAGAGAATCATATTGACATCGGGCTCTTACCTAAATTAATCAACAGTTTTTCATCAGCACTTGCATTTAAAAATAAGACAAACGAAGAATCAACTTACCAATGGAACGTTCTTCTTGAAGCCAACACCAAGATGAAAAATCTTTGCAAGTTGGTAGAAAGCCTTTGGTTGACCATTGTTGGCAGCCACTACAAAATATTTACATGCCAACCGCACATCTCTTTTCACTCCAATCCCCTTGAGAAACATGACACCTAGGTTATAATGGCCACCAACCTCGTCATTTTCAGCAGCCTTTTCAAAATACTCTTTTGGCTGTAATTCAGAAAAAGATATCATAAATTAAGCATAGACATACATAGACACACAATACCACCGATAAAGTGTGTCCCCATTCCATTCCCCAAAAATTTGAAGTCCATACAAACACAAAAAAGGCAAAGATGATCATACTTTAGTGTAATTTTTGCTGTCGACTCCATAGCCTTTGACATACAAATAACCAATCCCATTATAAGCAGAGTAGAGGTGATGCTTAGATGCTAGAGTAAGCCATTCAAAGGCTTTTGTATAGTTCCTCTCAACACCGGCTCCCCTGGCATATATCTCTCCGAGAAGCTCCATGGAGCGAGGCTCTCCCTTCTCCACTGCCTTCAAGAACCACGAAAGTGCCTTAGAATGGTCACGCCTCAATCCACGTAGCCCAAAGTAGTAAAAGAGTCCCACTTTGTACATAGCAGCAGCATTCCCTTTCTGTGTCTGATACTCGAGAATCTGAAAATCCTCATCCTCTTCCCCTTTAGATTTTCTAAGTGCCTCTTTGTTCTCTTCAGCTCCATTGTGTAGCCTAATAGGTTCAATGACGGGAGAATCTTTGGAAATGAGAAAACCATTGACAGCCACTTCTGCTAATTCAGCATAAAGCTTAACCGATTTATCAAACATCTACAACCATTCCAACATAATCAAAAACTCTAACATTATAATAGAATAGAATATAGAAGTTTATAAGAGAGCATGGTTCTGAAAAAAAGGTATGCTGCTTTGATGTCAATGTTATTATTTCTCTATATCCTATTTGATTGATCATATTAAGGTATTACCTCCTTGTTAACCATGAGTTTTTTGCTAAGAACATTACGAGATTGATTTGTCAAATTGGAAGCCATTGCGCTCAAAAACCCGATCCTATTCAATATTGCAGGATAAAAACCACATGTTAGAATTCTAATGACCAAATAGTTTGTTTTCATGTAACTCAATTTATAATCTAGAAGGAGCAAGACTCACCAATTGAAAGAGACCTCCGTAGCAGACGCCAGTGCCACTCCACCTGCAATAGGCACAAGGGAAGCAACCACCCATGCTGTAGGCATCTGTAAGATAATATTGGAAAAATCAACTAACAGTGGATTGAATTTTGAGCTTATAGGATCAAAAAACTCTTATAAGCAAGGTAACCCCCCTCATGGACACATAAGTAACCACATTGAGAAATATACTCATTAACCAGCATTTGACTGATACAGTGACAACATAGACAAGGACAAAAAATGTTCCAACTATATAAAGAATGAAATGAAACAGTTTGTATTATACATTTCCTTTGGCTCCACCCAATCTAATAATACTATAACAAATCATTTGTTTTCAATCACGTGTTCTACTTTTAGTATAGACAAAAATATCAGACATAAAATAAATTCATATGTTTTACACTAAGCTTGTACCTAAGAAACTACAGTAAACATCAATTCAATATACAATAGAAAAAATAACATTTGGTGTTGTGTTATCTTACCTCTCCAAGGAACATAGAAGACATAAGGACAGAAAAGAAAGGCTCCATTGATTTGACAGTATGAGTAAAAGAAACAACAACTTTTCCAAGGCTCATATTAGTGAAAAGGTTCCCTAATGTATGTACCAAAGCCAATGGAAATATTGCTAAAAGCTGCAAAAAAAAACAAGTGAACTCACATCTTGACGAGTGTAGGTATAAGCAAGAGCCATTTTGGATTGCATATTGCCACCATCTGAAGCAAAATGTTGATAAACAAATGCTTTATGTTTACTCCTCTCTCTCAAAAGCCCCATTCCCCACAAAAACCCTAACACTGATTGTGCCGTCGGGTAACCAGACTCTGCAGCCGTCTCAATCTCACCAGAGCCTTCTTCGATTAGCCTCGCGTCTCCTGTCATAAGCTTGGTCACGGCGGAGTAGTAGAGAGCCTCCGTATCGGATTGAGGTTGAGGTTGCGGTTGGGTGGAGGTTGGTTCGAAGATTTGGCGCCATGATCCAGGGTCGAGATCCTCTTCGGATTTGTGAGAGTCGGAGTCGCCGAACTCGTCCCACTCCGGGGAGGAATCGGGATCGGAAGGGGGTTCGTCTTTGAAGTCTTCTTGGGAGAGGACGAGGACGTAGGGGCGGACGGTGACGGAGAGAGTGAGGAGAGAGAAACAGAGGAGAGAGATGAATAATTTGGCGGTGGGCATTGCTGTGTTGAAAAATCACAGTCACGGCAATTGAAATTCAGAAATAATATAGAAATTTGGAATGAGAAGAACAAGAATGAAGGATAGTGAATGTAAATGGATGAAATGTGGAGGATAGTCAAATAATAGCGTTTTATACAAAATGCTATCTTAAAGAAGTTTAATAATAGCGTTCTGGTACAAAGTGCTATCATAATTACATAGTC